GCGAGGGCGGCGGATCGGGGCCGCGAAGGGCGGCGGATCGGGGCCGCGAGGGCGGCGGAGCGGGGCCGCGAGGGCGGCAGATCGGGGCCGCGAAGGGCGGCGGATCGGGGCCGCGAGGGCGGCGGAGCGGGGCCGCGAGGGCGGCGGATCGGGGCCGCGAGGGCGGCGCGAAGGGGCCGCTAGGGCGGCGCGAGAGAGGGGAGCGCGACTCGGGCAGGGGCTGAGTGCGCTCCGGGCAGGAAAAAAAACGGTGGGCCCTAGGAACAGTTCCCACGGGGGAACCTGCTCGATACCATGAGAAGAAACAAGGAATGAAATGACTAAGGGAAAGTTGGGTACAAAATGCAAACCCTAGAAAACTGTACCCCATATGTGCTACCCCACTATAGCCTACAGTAGCTCTGTCATATAAATCTGACAGACGGCGCTAGGAGGGGCGCTCGACGGCGCAAGAAGGGGCGCTCGACGGCGCGAGAAGGGGCGCTCGACGGCGCGGTGGAACGGTGGGCCCAAACCAACTTCGGTCCTAGGTCCTGACCTAGGCGTCGGATACCATGTTGTAAAGTAGAGGTGAACGAGAATGGATGAAACTAGGTAGGAGGGGGATACAAGTAGGAAACCCTAACAAAGTTGTACCCCCTAAGGCTAAACCCACTATAGCCTACACAATTTAAACATATAATGTTTGACATAAGCTACCTATCTACGGGGAAACACGGTTACTACTCCAGATTGGACCCCTTCGATGGAAGCCTGCTCTCCCCGTCACAAATATTAAAGGACTCGACGTAATCTTCGGGAGAGACTTTCTGAAAAAAATCAACCCCGAGATCAACTGGGTTAACCGGACAGCCAACATCAACAACAACGGGAGGAAAATCAGCCTTCCCAAATGGGACGACACGGGAAATATTCCAGCCGAGACACTCGCATGCTTTGAAAAGGACGTCAAACGGACCACGGCGGGATTCATGGCGATAGTCAACGAAGCAGACAATGGAGAGAAGCAGACCCAGGAACTTCCTCCAGCAGTAAAGAAAATTCTTGAAGAGTTCCAAGACGTTCTCCCCGACGATTTACCTTATCAACTACCGCCATACCGAACACATCAACACGAGATCGTAGAAGAGTCGGGATCCAAGCCGACGTTCCGAGCACCATACCGGCTGAGCCCGACAGAGCTTGCCGATATGAAAAAACAAATAGAGTATCTCCTGGAGAAAAGGCTGATTCGACCTTCGACTTCGCCGTACGGAGCTCCAGTTCTCTTCACTCCAAAGCCGGACGGAAGTCTGCGAATGTGCATCGACTACCGAGCCTTGAACAAGCAGACCATAAAAAATAAATACCCGATACCACGGATCGACGACTTACTCGATCAACTTCGCGCTGCTACGGTATTCTCCAAGCTCGACCTCAGATCGGGATACTGGCAAATTCGTATGGCGGACAACTCTATCCACAAAACTGCCTTCCGAACTCGGTATGGGTCGTACGAGTATCTCGTGATGCCGTTCAGACTCACTAACGCACCAGCCACATTTCAGGCGGAAATGAACCACATCCTTCGACCCCTTCTGGACGAGTGCGTGGTGGTATACTTGGACGACATCCTGATCTACTCGAAAGACATGAAGCAGCACGTTGAGCATTTGCGACGCGTCTTCGAAATTCTTCGACGAGAACGCTTCTACGTGAAACTATTGAAGAGCGAGTTTGCACTGAAGAAAGTCTAGTTCCTTGGACATATGGTGAGCGCTCAAGGAGTTCACGTGGATCCAAAGAAGATCGAAGCAGTGCGAACGTGGAAGACCCCTGAGAACGTGAAGGAGTTACAACAGTTCCTTGGATTCGCCAACTACTACAACCGGTTCGTACCGAACTACGCCAAGATTGCCGCACCATTAACGAACCTGTTGAAGAAGAATACACCATATCAGTGGGAGGCGAAGCACCAGAAAGCCGTGGAACAGCTGAAAACCGCACTCACGTCCGCACCTGTCCTTATTTTGCCAGACCCCGAACTTGACTACGTCATCGAGGCCGATGCTAGCGATCAAGCAGTGGGCGCAGTACTCATGCAGGATCAGGGGAAGGGACTGCAACCCATTGCATACCTCAGTAAAAAACTTCACGGGGCAGAACTCAATTACCCCATCCATGACAAAGAGGCCCTCGCCATCGTCAACGCATTTAAAGCATGGAGGTGTTATCTCGAAGGAAGAAAGACCACCGTCTACACCGACCACTGCAGCCTCAAGTATCTGAAAACCCAACCAACACTCTCCAGGCGGCAGGTCCGGTGGATTGACTTTCTCGAAACCCACTTCCATTACGACATCGTGTATAAGCCGGGGCACAAGAACAAGGCAGACGCACTCAGTCGCCCTGCACACGTTGCCGCCCTACAAGTCGATGACATGAACCCACTTTTGAAGGTACTGTTCACGCATGGATACACCATTGACCCCGAAGTCTCCGTAGCAGAAAAGCGCCATCTTCTGCATTGGGATCAAGACATCGCGTACCGTAAGGGATCCACAAAAATATGGGTGCCTAATTACCCTCCTTTACGCCAGTTATTACTCGAAGAATATCATGATGTTCTCTACGCGGGCCACTTCGGTAGTAACAAGACGCTTGCCGGTATTGCGAAGCATTATTATTGGCCCCACATGGCGGATGACGTACAAAAATTCGTCACCTCGTGCGACACATGCCAACGGATGAAGAGCAGCAAACAGAAGAAAGCCGGGTTACTCCAGCCTCTTCCAGTCCCTGAACAGCCTTGGCAAGTGGTTAGCCTGGACTTCATCACCGGGTTACCACCTACCAAAGCTGGTTTCGACGCCATTCTAGTCGTCATCGACAAATTTTCCAAAATGGGACACTTCATCCCGACACACACAACAGCTCGCACCGAGGAGACAGCGCAATTATTCTTCCGCTACGTCATCTCGCAACATGGCATTCCAACCACGCTGATCTCCGACAGAGACCCGAAATTCACGAGTAAATTCTGGAAGGAGCTCATGTCGCTCATGGGGACCAAACTCGCCATGTCATCAGCCTATCATCCCCAAACGGATGGTCAGACAGAGCGCCTCAACCAGATTGTCGAACAGCTTCTGCGAGCAGCGTGTAAGGACGATATCTCTAAATGGGATGCGCACCTGCCGGTTCTCAAGTTTGCGTATAACAACGCAACACATGCCGCGACAGGGCAAACTCCTTTCTTCCTCTGTTACGGTCGCAACCCACTCACGCCTCAGAAACCGACAGTACCCGCCACGGTGCAACCCGCACATGACTTCATTACCACTATGCACCACTTGTGGGAGCGCACGCATAAACGTCTTTTGACTATCCAGCAGCAACAAAAGAAGCTCGCTGATCGGAGTCGCAACGATCATTCCATCAAGATTGGCGATCAAGTGCTTCTGGATACACGCAATCTCGAAAGTAGCCATCTTCCGTCTAAGCTCTGACCTCGCTGCTGCGGACCTTTTCTCGTCGAGGCGCAGGTCACTCCAGTAACCTTCCGCTTGCGTTTACCAGCTACCTGGAGAATTCACAATGCCTTCCATGTTCAACTTCTCAAGCCCTATCGGGACCCGAACACGGTCTTCAAAGGTCGCCAGCCGCCGCCGCCACTGCTAGTGATCGTTAATGGGGAACCTGAGTACGAAGTCGAAGCCGTTCTGGCGCACCGACGACAACGTAACGGCACCTTGGAGCTCTTGATTCGTTGGAAAGGCTATGATCCTTCCGAGGATAGCTGGGTACCTGAACACGACATGGATAACGCCCGTCGTCCTCTCCAGGACTACCTTGTCAAGCAGGGTGTTATTTCTACCACCCATCTTTGAGGGGGGGAAGTGTGAGAGGACGTCCCTGTTATAATATTTGTCATTATTATATTTTTCCTTTATCTTATTCTCCTTTTTCTCCTCTTTATTTTGGTCTTTATTTCATCTCAATCGGCCTACTATTCTATTTTCTAGAGCCTTCTCTTTATTTCACTTATTTCCTACTGCCAGTGATCGTTAATGGGGAACCTGAGTACGAAGTCGAAGCCGTTCTGGCGCACCGACGACAACGTAACGGCACCTTGGAGCTCTTGATTCGTTGGAAAGGCTATGATCCTTCCGAGGATAGCTGGGTACCTGAACACGACATGGATAACGCCCGTCGTCCTCTCCAGGACTACCTTGTCAAGCAGGGTGTTACTTCTACCACCCAGCTTTGAGGGGGGGAAGTGTGAGAGGACGTCCCCGTTATAATATTTGTCATTATTATATTTTTCCTTTATCTTATTCTCCTTTTTCTCCTCTTTATTTTGGTCTTTATTTCATCTCAATCGGCCTACTATTCTATTTTCTAGAGCCTTCTCTTTATTTCACTTATTTCCTACTGCCAGTGATCGTTAATGGGGAACCTGAGTACGAAGTCGAAGCCGTTCTGGCGCACCGACGACGACGTAACGGCACCTTGGAGCTCTTGATTCGTTGGAAAGGCTATGATCCTTCCGAGGATAGCTGGGTACCTGAACACGACATGGATAACGCCCGTCGTCCTCTCCAGGACTACCTTGTCAAGCAGGGTGTTACTTCTACCACCCAGCTTTTAGGGGGGGAAGTGTGAGAGGACGTCCCCGTTATAATATTTGTCATTATTATATTTTTCCTTTATCTTATTCTCCCTTTTCTCTTTATTTTGGTCTTTATTTCATCTCAATCGGCCTACTATTCTATTTTCTAGAGCCTTCTCTTTATTTCACTTATTTCCTACTTTTCCCTCCCACCGACATATCTATTATACGGCACCGACAGCGCCGACAGTGGTGTATACGGTGTAATCTGGGCGTAATCCCAAGTGCCAATAGCCTTGCGTGCTTGTGCGCACCTGTGATTGTAGTATCGGGAAGGGCGTGTTCCCGAAGGTTCGTTTTATCTCGTTTATCCTTGTATTTTCCGAGCATAAAAACGCCTTGTATTCAGTTATAGTGACAAGTTTCGATTGAGAATTCGATCCTGTGACAGTTGTGATGTTTGGTGGGTCCGTGTTCTGACACGTATAGGAGGTGCCGCCACTTGTCCATGTGGGTCCCTCTCTCTTCTCCCCCCCCCCCCCTCGTCGGCTGAATACCCCACTCGACCGCCGTCTCTCCAATCCCCCTCCTCCTCCTCCTCCCTCCGCTCCACCCTTCCACCATACCTCTCCTTCCCCACCCCAATCCCCTTCCTCCCCCCTCCCGCACCCCCCTTCCGCCCATCCACTCCACCCACGCCCCCTTCTCCCTCCTCCAACCCTCTCAACCGCACCACATCGCGCCCCACACTGGCCTCTCTGTTCGTGGTAGTGCACGCCTCGAGGGGTGAGAGGGAGTGCCAGGATTGGTCCTACTGGTCGGCGAGGGCGTCAGGGTAGAGCGAGCAGAGGTCGTTGGAGGTGCTGATGCGCTTGAAGTCACGCACGCCCTCATCCGAATACCACATGCCCGCCATTGGTTGTGCAGGCGCGATGGGCCTGAGAAGGGGGGAGAGGGGTGGGAGAGAGTGGAATGCAGGGGGTGCTGTCGCGCACACCCTCGTTTAAATCCCACGTGCCTTCTGATGGCGCGTGCAGGCGCGATGGACCTGGCAGGTGGGGAGGAAGGGAAAGCGGGAGGAGAGTGTAGGGGATGGGAGTGAAGTTTAAAGCACGGCCTTGTCTGACCGTGATAATACCACATGCCTCCCCCAGAGGCACACACAGGTGTCATGAGCCTGGGAGGGCGGAGGGGCGCGCAGGAGGAGAGTGCAGGTGAAGTGAAGGGTGGAGAAACAGGGTGGGTGGTGGGACCGATGCTGAAGAGTGCAGTCAGATTCACCTCCTAGGCTGAGAACCAACTCACATGTTGTAGCATGCACCTCTCATGGGCCACGTGGCACCCACCTGTCATGTGCCACGTGGCACCCACTTACCTGTCATGTGCACGTAGCAGGCGTCCTGGATGAGGAGCATACAGGCGAAGTCGTCAGGCTGCTGCAGCTGGAACACCCCCGGCATGAGCGAAAACGACCTCACATCCCACTTGCCCCTCTGCCCTTCTATTCATGCCAAGGTGGGAGAGAGGCAGGGGGGAGATGGGGCGCAGGGAGCGGTGAAGGGAGAGGATTTGAGAGCAAGACCTCTAGGGGCGGTGTCAGCGCAGTAGCAACACCCCTAGCAGCCGCAGTGGGGGCACGGGCCGCGGAGGGGGCACGGGCTGCGGAGGCACGAGGAGCGCGTCAGAGGGGAGAGGAAGAGGAGAAGGGAACGTACGAGGGAGAGGAGGAAGGACGTACGAGGGAGAGGAGGAAGGAGTTGTCGGTGGCGTTCCAGGGCACCTTGCTGGCCGCCAGCCCCAGCGCGATGTGGAACAGCCGCCCGTTCACCGTCTCCCTCGCCCTCACCATAAAGCTCAGATGCGCCCCCACGCCCCGCTCCATGCCCGCCCCCCCCCCCCGCCTGCACCGGATAGCTGATCGCCCCCCCACCTGCAGGCGTGCTGGGAGAGGGGAGAGGAGGAAGGGTGGGTTTGAGAATGGGGAGGGGAGGTGGTGGGGAGGGAGATGGGTGGGAGAGGCATCATGGGACTGGCCGTGGCGTGGTAGCATGCAATGCCTAGCATGCAGTGTCATGCAGCAGAGGTGCCATAGCGCAGCACACCAAGCACTGTGTACCGCCTGCCAGCGCATGGCAGTGCGGCCTGCCAGCGCAGTACCGTGCGCGGGCGCGGGGGTCGCGTAGAAGGCGGCGGCTTGCGGGCTGGCGTGCTTGCCGCTGGCGACCGGGGAGCCACGTGGATGGTCGAGATCACTCATGTGGTCGATCGCACGGCGCTCGGCGATCCTGATGAGCGGCACGTCGTGCGCGACGACCACGAGTGGCGTCGACCCGCCGCGTGCTTCAGCCGCCCCTCAATCGGCCGCTGCATGGCGCGGAGCTGACGTGTACCATGATGGTTGCCGCTGCATTCGCGAAGATGTTCACGGCATGACGACTGATGAGAGCAGAGACAAGTCTCGCAATGATGGATATAACGTGAAGGCTAATGTAAGAGCGGGCGATGCCCTGATACTAGCGATTGAGGTGGCGAATCTTCGACTCTACTACTACCGAACCTGGATGTCGTGACCGCTGGACGGACGGAAGAGGAAGGGGTGGTGGAGGAAGCGATAGGCCGGAATACTCGCTGAAGAGACGGTGCATTGCGTAGGCGAGGGTGCGGGGGACGGAAAGTTCAGTGAGCGAGCATCGCATTAGCAATGCTGGTGAGCGGAAGCAGAAAGCAGGAGCGATAGCGGCATCTAGCTAAGTGCGAACAAAGCAGTAGAGGCATTGCTTCGTGGACGGCTTCGTTATTGTCAGCTCTCATTCATATTACTTACCGACTTCGTGCAGGTTTCATGAAACATAATCTATCACTATATCACCCTCATTTGAACAAGCCGTGAAGGTGAATCATGTATGGTATGTAATCAAACTCTAAGGTACAGACAGAAGTATGATTATTATAAAAGAGCAGGGTTTTTGAACAACTACCTACTCTAGGGACAACTATTGAATCATTAGAAATGGAAAAAAGGTGAAATTGTCCCTCACCCAAAATAATGGGTCAGCGTCGTGCTGGTTGCTACTTTTGCTGTATTGGCCACATTTTTTTTAAGTGTTACACTCTTAAGAATCATAAGCTATTGAATTCTCACCTTTAGCAAGCACTGCTGCAGGGCATAATTGGTCACTGTGTCATCCAGTTCGTACGCATAGCAATGATAGATTTTTTCTTTCTTTCTTTCTTTCTTTCTTTCTTTCTTTCTTTCTTTCTTTCTTTTCCTTTCTTCTCTTTTCATCCCTTCCCTCATGTTCATGGCAGAGTACCACCAACCAGACAGATTCCATTCACTAGGCGTTTTGATCCTTTACGCCTTATAGGGTTTAGAAAATGTTAAAAAAGAAAAAAGAAAAAAAAAAGAGGTAGATATCAACCGTTGTGTACAGACATCTCTACATTACAAGGAAGATGATACGTCAATCTCACACAGGGTAAACTATCAGTGTAATTCCCTATTCTAGGAGTAGACGACAAACAGACAAGGGCCTGTCGAGGCTTTCAACACTCTCACAAGGCACGAGCCGGCTCTCCTGCGTGCCGTCAGCAGCGCCACCAATGGGTGGCAGAAGTGTGAGAGTGATGTGTGGGACGCACTCAAACATGAGCATCACATGCACCTCCCTGCGCGCCATAACCCCCCATGCTACCTCCACCACTCGCCTGCCCCCGCTCTCGCCCCTCGCCCCCCCTTGCTCCTGCTGGCTCCGCAAGCGTAGCACACCCGCCTCAAGCCCTTGCACAGCACCCTCTCTCATTCCCAGCAGTCTCCTTGCCCGTCTCATTCTCATGTCACCTTCCTCCTTGCCCTCCCCTGCTGCACTGCCCCCTGCCCCCTCGTCCTCCTGCACAGCATCCAACTTGGGTGGATCGCCATCACCCTCTCCGTGCAGCCCCCCCACCCCCCTCCACCTCCGCATCTCCCTCCCCTCCACCTTCCCCACCTTCCAAACTGCCACTCACACTACGCTCTCCCCCCTCTAACTTGATGCCCATCTTGCCACCACTAGTGGCGCCACTTGCAGAACCACAGTTGCTAGCGCTGTAGGCAGCACGACTGTTACCATTGCCCTCGCCCATGCTGCTGCCAGACCTAGCAGTGCCGCCCGCTAGTCCCACGATGGCGGGAGTGACAGTGCCCTCGTAGCGGTGGGACACACGCAACAACACACACAGCTCCGTGCTACCGGCCCCACCCGGCCACAGCTAGATGGTACGATGGCTGGCAGTGGGTAAAGGGCAAGAGGCTGCAAAGGCAGAGTGGTGTGGCATGAGGTATGCAGGCGGCGGTGTAACACAGCATATGGAGTCTTCTTGATACCAAGTCCCCATCAAATGCGACTTGTGGGGAGTGGTATGAATATGCGTGAATCATCTGCGCCTCACAATCCATCACGGGCATGTGAGGAGGGCGCACCTGGCATATGAGGAGGGCGACTCTGGGCATGCATTTGACAGAGAGCAGAATGTGAACCACAGGGCAGGATGTGCGCGGCACAGGGCACGATGTGAGCCCACAGGGCACGATGTGCGCCCGCAGGGCACGATGTGAGCCCACAGGGCACAAGTGTGTCGATGCCATCCGGCAGCACCTCCATCATGAGCTATCTACACCACACTGGTGTGTTGTCTGATAGATACACAGTTACCCACAATGCAGCACGACAACAGATCCACATGTCTTGAGCATGGGATAATGGCTGACTGACCTTGGCAGGATGTGAGCGCCACAGGGCTCGAGCGTGTTGATGTCATCAGGCAGCACCTCCATCATGGCGCCCTCCCTCACGAACGCTACTGCCTCTTCTAGTGGCACCGCCACCACTACCACCTACCCGCCGCAGTACCGCCACCCCGAGAACAGATGGCGCCAGTGCGGGGTGGACGCTAGGAAGAACACTTGTGCCGTGGTGCCGTGGTGGTGGTAATGAGGCGTGTAGTGTAGCGGGTGTGCACGGGGGGAGAGGGAGGCAAGAGGGAGCCTAGGAATACGAAGAGATGGAGTCAAGTCAGAAATACCGCGTCAACTTGCACCTTCCGTAGCATCTGGTGTAGCACCTGTCGTAGCACCTGTTGTAGCACCTACCGTAGCACTTGCTGTAGCGCCTGCTGTAGTACCTGCCGTAGCACTTGCTGTAGCACCTACTGTGGCACCTGCTGTAGCACCAGCTGTGGCACCTACTGTAGCACCTGTTGTGGCACCTGACGTAGCACCTATTGTGGCACCTGTCGTAGCACCTGCTGTGGCACCTGCTATAGCACCTACTATGGAACCTGCTGTGGCACCTTCTGTAGCACTTGCAGTGGCACCTGCATGAAGAGGAAAATGTTTGTGGGTGAATCGAGCATGCAGGATGTGCATGCATAATGTCGTGCCTCGCACACCATAGTTTGGGGGAAGGCAAAGCAAGGCAAGGCACACCTCACCTGCACGCCTCATATGGACGCCTCATCTTCATGCCTCACCTGCACACCTCACCTACATGCCAGACCACTACTTTGTCTTGCAGATAGTGCAAGAAGCCACGCCTCACCTGCACACCTCACCTGCAAATTAGACAACGACGTGGTCTTGCAGGCAGCGCAAGAAGCCACACCTCACCTACAGGCAATGTAAGGACCCTCGCCCCACCTGCACGCAGTCAGTGTTGTTCACCACGGGCGCCACCAATAGGTCGCCCCCTAGCAGGTACTGCACCTCCCACCGCCCACTCTCCGTGCCCTCATCCCCTTGCACGCACAGTGCCATCGGGCACATCATCGAACGGGCCTTGGTGGATGCAAGGCATGCGGTGCGCAGCATGTAGGGTGCGAGGGTGGTGTGCAAGCGTGCAAAGCGGAGGTAGATGCGCAGCATGAGGGCGTCGTAGTCCCACGGGCCGTTGTTGGCCTGCGCGAACTGATGCATTAGTGGGGACAGCGCGTTGGGGGGTTGAAAATTGGGAGGGAAGGCAATAGGAGCTGGAAACTGATCCCAAGGTATCAGTAAGTCGACCAGCGCACCGAATTGAATTATTTTCGTCGCAAATCTTCGTGTAAATTGCCTAATGGAGGAAATTGGTGATAATTTTGTACAAGAAATTACAGAGTTAAGCACCGACATTTCATCCAGCAGCAGTAGCAGCAGCAGCAGCAGCAGCAGCTACAATGAATCTTGAGGTGGCACGTCCGAGGCTACCGGAGACGTTCAATCCGAATGCGAGAGACGTCGACGTCCGTTGATTCATTGCGACCCTCGAAATTTACTTCGAGGCCGTTGGCTCTACGACCCCGACAAACGATGCAATATGGTGTCAAAATGTTGTATAGCTTATATTGTGTAGGCTATAGTGAGGTAGCCCATAAGGGGTACAACCCAATTAGGGTTAGTACTTGTACCCAACTCTTTGCTAGTTCATTCATCCTCGTTCAGTATTCTGACATGGTTTCAGAGCAGGTCCTCCGCTAGGACCGTTTTTTTTTTTTCCTTGGGCCCACCACAGCGCTACCCCGCTAGCCGCCCTCTGCAGCCCTCGTGCTGCCCCTACTGCCCGTCGACCCCTCGGCCAGGCCCCTAGGCCCGTCGCGACCCATCGCCCGTAGGCCCGTCGCCCCTAGGCTCGTCGCCTCGGCCCGTCGCCCCTAGGCTCTTCGACCCCCGGCCCGTCGCCCTAGGCCCGTCGCCCCGGCCCGTCGCCCCTAGCCCGGCGCCCCTAAGGCCCGTCGACCCCCGGCCCATCGCCCCTAGCCTGTCGACCCCCGGCCCGTCGCCCTAGGCCCGTCGCCCCGACCCGTCGCACCTAGCCCGACGCCCCTTAGGCCCGTCGACCCCCGGCCCGTCGCCCCTGGCCCGTCGACCCCCGGCCCGTCGCCCTAGGCCCGTCGCCCCGGCCCGTCGCCCCTAGCCCGGCGCCCCTTAGGCCCGTCGACCCCCGGCCCGTCGCCCCTGGCCCGTCGACCCCCGGCCCGTCGCCCTAGGCCCGTCGCCCCGGCCCGTCGCCCCTAGCCCGGCGCCCCTTAGGCCCGTCGACCCCCGGCCCGTCGCCCCTGGCCCGTCGACCCCCGGCCCGTCGCCCTAGGCCCGTCGCCCCGGCCCGTCGCCCCTAGCCCGGCGCCCCTTAGGCCCGTCGACCCCCGGCCCGTCGCCCCTGGCCCGTCGACCCCCGGCCCGTCGCCCTAGGCCCGTCGCCCCGGCCCGTCACCCCTAGCCCGGCGCCCCTTAGGCCCGTCGACCCCCGGCCCGTCGCCCCTAGGCCCGTCGACCCCCGGCCCGTCGCCCCTAGCCCGTCGACCCACGGCCCGTCGCCCTAGGCCCGTCGCCCCGACCCGTCGCCCCTAGCTCGGCACCCCTAGGCCCGTCGACCCCCGGCCCGTCGCCCCTACCCCGTCGACCCCCGGCCCGTCGCCCTAGGCCTGTCGCCCCGGCCCAACGCCCCTCGCCCGGCGCCCCTAGGCCCGTCGGCCCCCGCTAACGGCTCGCCCGCCGCCCCTACCGCCCTCGCGAGGCCCGCGATAGGCCCGCCGACTGCTGCTACTGCCCGCGTGCCGCTCGCCTTAGGCCCGCCAGCTGCCCCTGCCGCCCGCGCGCCGCCCGCTAGTGGCCCGCCAGCCGCCTCTGCTGCCCGCGAGCCACCTGCTCCTGGCCCGCCAGCTGCCCCCACCGCCAGCGCGCCGCTCGCTATCAGCCCGCCCGCCGCCCCCCCGACGCCCGCGCGCCGCTTGCTTACGGCCGCCAGCCGCCCCTGCCGCCCGCGCGCTGCCTGCTAACGGCCCGCCAGCCGCCTCTGCCACCTGCGCACCGCCTGCTCACGGCCCGCCAGCCGCCTGCTATTGCCGCCCGCGCGCCGCCCGCCTAAGGCCCGCTTGCCGCCCCCTGCAACTCGCGAGAGCCTCTTTCTTCCTGTGCGCCGCCCCTTGCGGCCTGCTCACTGCCTTCTTGCAGCCCGCTTGCTCCCCCCCTCTGCGCTGCCCGGCTTATGCCAGCCCTGCGTGCTGCGCAACTATGGCTTCTCTCCGCGTGCTCGCGTTTGATCATGAGGGACGCCCCCTGCAGTTTGACACATGGCTCGACGACCTGCAGCTATACCTGCTGAGCGACTCTAGGGACATTGTTTCGTTGTTTGACCACACGTCTAGTGCCGCTCCTGCCCCTCCCGCCACAGCTGACAGTACGACTCGTTCACAGTGGCTGACTCGCGACGCTGCTACCCGCTTAGCCATTCGCAACCACCTCCCGTTGGCCGAATGCGCTCACTTCGGACAGCACAGGACAGCGCAGACACTGTACGACGATGTAGTCGCTCGCTACTCCTCGCCTGCCACTGCTGCTCTAGGCCTCCTCCTCCTGCCCTACTTGTTCCCCGAGCTGTCCGCCTTTGCCACAGTCGAGGACTTGGTTTCCCACCTTCGCGCTAGCGACGCTCGCTACCGCGCTGCTGCCCCCGCTGAGTTCCTTAACAGGAACCAGCCCCCAATGTTCATCACTCTCTACTATATAGTCACACGCCTCCCTGACTCTCTGCGCTCTGTCAGGGACCACTTCCTCTCCCTTGACCCCACCTCCCTCACTGTTGACCTCCTCGAGCAGCACCTCCTTGCAGCTGAGACTAGTGCAGTAGCTGTAGGTGCTGCTCGTGGCACTCCGCGCACGCCCTTCTTTGAGAGGTGGCCCCCCTCCCCCCTTGCCCCCTCCTACGCCTCTGCTGCTGCTGTAGACGTCCTTAGTACTGAGGATGCCGCGGCTGCTTCTGCTAGTGCGAAGCGCTGCAGCAGCAAGGGCAAGGGTGGCAAGGGTGGTGGAGGGGGCAGTGGGAGTGGTGGTGGGGGCAGCAGTGGAGGCAGTGGAGGCAGTGGAGGTGGTGGCAGCGGTGGGAGTGGTGGTGGGAGTGGGGGCGTTGGTGGCGGCAGTGGAGGCAGCGGTGGGAGTGTCGGTAGTGGCAGCGGTGGCAGTGGTGGTGGTAGGATTGGAGCTCAGCGTGGAGGTTCTGGAGGAGGCCAGCGGAAGCGGCAGCAGCGTCGGAGCGAGACCCCTTCGCCCCAGCAGCTTCGTGAGTGGTTTGCTCAGCGTGGGGCGTCTGGTGGTAGTGTGAGCTGCCCGTATGTCATTCGCACGGGTGACCGTGCTGGACAGACATGCGGGAAGGCGCACACGCAGCACCGCTGCTTCTCCCGTCTCGATGATGCGTGGCGTGCTGAGTTTGGTGATGAGGTTCAGCGCACCCACTGGGCAGAGCTGCTTAGGTCTGGTGTTGCGAACTTTGACCTAGACTATGATGCTATTCTTTCTGCTATGTATGCTTTGTCTGCTAGTGCTGAGGGTGATTGTTACCTGTGTGTGCCGCCTGACCCAGGTATAGAAGCTGCTGCTCTAGGTCGTGGTGAGTCTTCTCTCCCTGGTACTTCGCTTGCTAAGGCCTTGCACACCTTCACGCTGGACTAAGGTACCTCACGCTGTTTCTTTCGTGACAGCACCACCCTCACTCCTCTCCCTGCACCTGTCCCGGTCAGACTGGCTGACCCCTCTGGGGGCCCGGTCGTTGCCCGTTCCTCCACTGTCCTCCCGTGTCCGGCAGTTCCGTCCGGCTCACTGTCAGGTCTTCACATCCCCTCGTTCTCTACGAACTTGGTGAGTTTCGCTGCCCTCCAGGACGCGATGGCCACTACCACCACTCCTGGGGGTCAGCGTGTGTCGATCTGCACGTGTACACAGACGGGTCGTCACCTGGCCACGTTCACTCATCGGCCAGGGTCGAGTCTGTACACACTTGCTACCGAGCCTCCTCAGGTAGCTGCGTCTGCTCAGGTGTCCGCGTCAGGTCAGGTAGCACCCCCTTGCTCGTGTCACCTCCTGTCGCACGAAACTCTTCTGTGGCACCACCGCCTGGGTCTCCCCTCCCTGCCACGCCTTCGTGGCATGCAATCCCGTCTCCTTGTCTCTGGTCTTCCCAAGACTCTGCCTCCCCTACCACCCTTGCCTGCCCCGCCCTGCCTTCCTTGCGTCGAGGGGCGGCAGCGCGCCGCTCCTCACTCCTCCTCGTTTCCCCCGATGACTGCTCCCCTGCAGACTCTCCACATGGACGTGTGGGGCCCAGCCCGCGTCAGTGGACAGGGCCGCGAGCGCTACTTTCTGCTGGTTGTGGACGACTACACGCGCTACACCAAGGTCTTCCCCTTGCGCAGCAAGGGTCAGGTCGTTGATGTCTTGATCCCTTGGATCTGCGCAGTCCGTCTCCAGCTCCGCGAGCAGTTCCGTGCGGACCTTCCTGTCCTGCGTCTGCACTCTGACAGAGTTGGTGAGTTCTCCTCTGACCTCTTGTGGGACTTTTGTCATGGGGAGGGCATTCTCCAGTCGTTCATGCTTGTGGACTCCCCTCAGCAAAATGGGATTGCTGACAATGCATTGGCTTAGTCATGGAGGTCGCTCGTACCTCCATGATCCATGCGGCTTTTCCCCTGACGCGTCTGGCTGGCAGTTTTACCACCCTACCTCGCAACGTGTCTTCCCCTCTCAGGACGTCATGTTTGACGAGTCGGTTCCCTTTTATCGTCTCTTCCCCCACCGCTCTGCCCCTCCCCCACCCCCGCCGCTCTTCCTTGCTCCTGGTCCCCCTCCGGAAGACCCCCTCCCCCCCCAGGGTCCTGCTCCCTCAGGTGTGTCTCAGGTAGACCCTCACCCTGGTACTGCGCCTGTTGAGGTAGCTGTCGGCTCAGGTGCGGCTCGAGGTGCTGCGTCTGGGGGTGCTGAGTCTGGGGGTGCGGAGCCGGGGGTTGCGGAGTCTGAGGGTGCTAGGTCTGGGGCTTCTGAGCCTGGGGGTGAGGAGCCTGGGGGTGCTGAGCCTGCGGGTGTGGAGCCTGGGGGTGCTGAGCCTGAGGGTGTTCAGCCTGGGGGTGCTGAGTCGGAGGGGGCGGAGTCTGGGGGTGCTGAGCCTC